TGAACTTCAATGTTGGGTCCGTCACCACATCCAATGGTAATTTGGTGAGATTAATGATTGAATTTGTAGGTAGAGGTGATGGTGAAAGTTTCTTGTAATGTAAATTTATCGAGAACCCAACTTTGTTTGGTAGATCTTTGATTGAATTTGTTGGAAGAGTTTACTGAGAGACAAAGGAATAATTCACTAAGACATGTATCGAAAGTGCTTATAAACGGTTTAAATTATAAATAAATCGAAATGAGTGGTGGATAAGTTAGTAGTAACAAGTAATTGTGGTTCTCTTGAAATATGTGGATAGAAAATGGATTGAGCGTTTATATAAACATGAGCCAATCATATTCTAAGAGTTTCGAATGCCACTTTAGCTTTTTTATCACCTCTTCTTTCTTCTTCAATGGTGTAGTGACTTAGAACATGTTTGTTATTCCATGATGAGCAAAATTTGAACTCTTCTAATTCCCTCTATACCGGTCGAGCTATTGGCATCTAAGCTTGTACTTAAGTCGTAGATAAAAATGAGTTAGTGTTAGGGAAACTTGTTTGGCAGCATGTTATGATCACATTTTACTTTCAGACAAATAGTTCAAAATTGAATGGTATGAATTGACCCATGCCCTTCGGACAAATAGCTTAGTATTCAATATTTGGTACAAATTGTGTCGGTGAAGCATTAGAAAATGAATGGCATCCCACATTAAAGAACCCTTCAAAAATGGGTTTATACTTTTCTACATAATTTTTTGTTTTCAATTTGACGTTTGAAGTTTGAATTTATAAAAAATAATTTATTTTCGTGGTTATTAATCAAACCCAATCGAACTGAACTGAGATACGAACCGACTTACGTGGTTGTGGTGCGGTTATGGTATGACCACAAATTTGGTGGTGGGGTTATAGTTTTGACCGAACCAATTCCGAACCAAATCGTTGCCATCCCTAGGTAGCACTGGCGTAGTGTAGGATGGTGGTTGTGATCAATTATTTGGTTGATTGTGATCAATAAATTAGTTAATTTGTAACTAATAAATAGTATGTGACCTACACAATATTTAATTCCTACGAAAATTATAATTGTGATTCACAATTTGAACAAATTGTGACCAACTAATTTAATAATTGGTGATCGAGAAATAACCGTGATCAATTAATTTGATAATTTGTGACCGTGAAATAAATTGTGACTTAAAATTTGTGAATTGTGATCGAAAAATAGGTGACCTATTATTTTGATAAGTTGTGACCGATAAATAAATTGTAACCTATAAAATTTATGATTTGTGACCGAAAATAATACGTGGCCTATTATTTGATAAAATTGTGATCGATAAATAAATCGCGATCTATAAAATTTGTGATTCATGATCAAGGAATAACACATGATCCATTAATTTGATAATTTATGATCGAGAAATAAGTTGTGACCTATAAAATTTGTGATTTGTGACAGTGACATATGTAATAGTGACTAGTAAATAATTGCGACCATAAATTATATAATATTGTGATATTAATATAATTAATTAATAAAATATTTTTTAAATAATTATTTTATTAATTTTATTAATTTAAAACTTGATTTTTGAAATATTAAACCTAATTTTTTAATTTTGAAATTATATATCTGTGTAATTTCCTCTAAACTTTGATTTTTAAAAGATAAGTTGAGAAAAATATTTGTGAAGCCCAATTAAAAGGCGGGTCTATCAACAGGTCTGTTTATGTAATGTTCCCCACGTGTAATTTCCTCTCAAATTTGATTTGAGGAAATTACACATAGTCCTAGGTTTAGATTTTCATTATCACAAATCAGATCTCTAAT